TGGAATCACGTTCCTCAACGTCTACAAAGCGCCCAACGACCCACAGGCTGTTCAGCCTCTAATCAACTGGAATCCACCGCCAAATTCTGTTGCGGCGGGGGATTTCAACGCAGTGTACTGGGCCTGGCAACCGAGCACCACCCGAATCCACGGACAAGGAGAGGAAATCGATAGATGGGCGCAACATCACCATCTATCCTGTCTCATCATTGGGGAGCCCACGCACAAAGCTGGCAACACCTTGGATCTAGTCTGGACTAACATCAATGGCGCGCGAGCATGGGTGGATCGAAGTGAATGCGTAACCAGCGATCATCTCCCTATCCGAGGACAAATTCCGATTCGAGCTGCAAGTATGAAGGGTGGGATCCCCAAGCTCCGAGTGACGAAGAAAAATCTCCCAAAATTTGCTGCCTTCACTGCCAGATGGATCAAGCCGCCTTCAGCCCTAGACACTATCGAAAAAGTTGAAGAATACGCACATGAACTCTGCTTCCAAATTAAAGCCGCTATTAATGTGACAGGAACCCGAGCCAGAGCAAGCAGCGGAAAATCAGCACCTTGGTGGACCCCGGCATGCAGGGTAGCACGCGCTGAATACCAAGCGACCTTAACCTCTCCCCAGCGGGGCGTCTGCGCGAAAAAGCTTCGATCAGTTCTCCGAGCTGCGAAAAAAGAATACCAGAAGCAACAGGTCGAAGCGATGAAGTCGCCGAGCGATGTGTTCAAGCTACTGAGAAAGGCCAGTCCACGACAGGCTAGCATCCCACCACCACTCAATCATAATGGAACCCTCATCTCGGACCCTTTAGAGCGAGCCACAATACTTCGCGATGAGCTTCTTGCCCGACATCAGGCGTCAGACGACTTGCCACCGTGCACAGCGACAAGCAGCAACCGAATCCAGTGGAATGAAGATATCTCCGAGGAAGAAGTTAGACACTGCACAATCGGCTGTGGTAACACAGCTCCTGGAGCAGACGGAATCTCAGTTGAGCTGCTAGCGGCTTGCTGGAACACAATCGGACCGTACGTCGCTCAACTCTTCCGAGCCTGCGTGAGGATCGGCATTCATCCATCCTGCTTCAAGCTGGCTGAGGTCGTTCTTGTTCCGAAACCTAATCGAGACCCAACGACAGTCAAAGGATGGAGGCCTATCGCCCTTCTTCCTTGCCTAGGTAAAGGTCTAGAAAGGCTCTTGGCTAAGCGTATGGCGCATCTCGCTGTGATCTTTGATGTAACGGGACAACAGCAATTTGGCGCGCTCCCAAAACGCTCAGCAATAGATCTCGTCTCCTGTGTGGTACACGACATTGAAGAGGCAAGCTCCCAAAAGTGGACGGCTACATTTGTAACCCTGGACGTTCAAGGTGCCTTCGACGCAGTTCTCCATAACCGTCTGGTGAGAAGGATGCAGGAGCAAGGTTGGCCAGACTCGATCCTCAAGTGGACGACATCGTTTCTAGGGCATCGAATGGTCCAAGTTCGTCACTCGGGAGGAGTGACCGCTCAACGACAGCTAAGCCATGGAGTCCCCCAGGGCTCACCGATATCCCCACTCCTTTTTCTTCTTTACATGGCAGAGCCAATGCGAAGCGGAAAGCCAGGTATGAGGTTCAGCTACGCCGACGACTTCGGAATCATCGGATTTGGCCCTACCATAACGGAATCCGCCGCTGCGGCCCAGAGTGAAGTCGACGATCTCCTGGATTGGGCGGGAAAAAATGCGGTTGCTTTCGACACAAGTAAGTCTGAAGTAATCCAATTTCCAGCACGGTGCCGCGAGCCTACGAAAGGAATCTATGTCAATGGAACCCTTATCGAGCCGGCCGAATATGTTCGCTGGTTGGGTGTCTACCTAGATCCCCGGCTGACCATTAAGCACCACGTAACAACTTGGTGCGGTAAAGCCTTGAAAGTTGCACAGAGCCTGCGCCGCTTCAACACTGCTCTCCGAGGAGCCGCTCCAGGAGCACTTATTCGAGCAGTCGACATGTGTGTGGTTCCTATTGCGACATTCGGTGCGGAAATCTGGTGGCCTGGTCTCAGACGCCCGACGAGAAAAGGCATGACAACCCCACCAACAGCACATCTAAGTGGTATGATCGACAAGGCTGTCTTAATGGGACTTCGAGCTGCACTCCCGGTAATGAGGACGACAGCAAACGTTGTACTGCACAGAGAAGGAGGAATTCCACCAGGGAAAATCATACTGGAGGATAATCGACTTCGACTGTCAGTTAGACTCAAAACTCTGGATGATCGCCACCCGCTGAGGATTCGTGCGGCTGCGTGCCCAAATATCGGCACGCGGAAATACAAGAAAAGAAATCGAGGGACTTCGGTTCCTGAAGTAATAATGTCACGAGTCCAGCGGGCGTACCGACAATTACCAAAAGCAGAGCACGCGGAACCACTGCCGCCTACATCCTACTTACCGAAAGCAGGATCTAAGGAAGAACAAATTGAGATCTGTAGGCAATGGATCAACCAGGTGCCGAAGTCGGAAATTTTTGCCTACTCGGATGGCTCATCGGAGGGGAATGGACGCTCTGCTTGGGGTTTTGTTCTAAAGAGAGACGGGCAGACTTTGCTTACGGGAAGTGGCATCAGGCATGGGGGTGAGGCTTTGGATGCGGAAATCACCGGGGCAAGGAAGGCTCTTGAAGCAGCATTGGGACTCCAGAGCGCGACGCAACGAGTCAACCTTCTACTGGATAGTCAGAAGGCAATCAACGCACTCGAGACAGGCAAGTCCACGACAAGCCACGATGAAGTACGAAAATTTCGGGAGTTGTCCAAATCAGCTCGCGTGACAATTAAATGGGTTCCCGGGCACTCAAGAATCCAGGGTAACTTGGAAGCCGACTCGGCCGCCAGGTCTGGCCTACGAATGCTGCCGAGCCCGGAAATGCATCCAGAATCCACCACTCTGGCATTTCTTTATGGCCAAATGAATCGTCTGCGGCAGGCGTTACTCGACGATTGGTGGAACGAAGCTTGCCCGCCCCGATATCGCAAGCTCGACCTGCTCATGCGACGAAGGAAACCACCTGAGCTGGGACTTTCGAGGTTCCTACTCCGAAATCTGATTGCAGCTCGTACTGGACATGGCAATTTCGCGGCGCATCATCGCCGTTTCAACAATCTGGACGCTATAATGGAGTGCGCCTGTGGGGAGGAGACCACTCCTACCCATTTTATTCACTGTCGACTACACGCTCACGTCACGCGTCGACTCAGAGGGAGATCGTCACATAGTGGCTTTATCCAAAAACTTCTCGGGCCAAAGTGTCACGAATTTTTCAAAATCTTTGAGAAGGAAACCTGCTGTTTCGGGTTGCCATCTACAAATTCGTCCTCTGATCTCATCGGGGACAATATAAATTAGTCATACAGATGATATGACAGGAAGGAAGACAAGTCGAGGAGATTTGTTTCCGAACCAGAGATTGGTAAATCTACAGAGCTGGATAGTTTTGTGGTTAGGAGTTTGGTTTTTTAAAGGTTGAATTTTTGTACCAGTGCGAATTTTATACTAGCTACTATTTGTGTAGTGGTTCAAGCGGTGGGATCAAGTTTGGCTTATCAGGGATATGATCTTGGCTGTGAACATCGGTCTTTGACCCTTAGGGGATAACGGGTATAGCCTAGGACCTAAATTAATAAACAAACAAACAAACATGCATTACACACTAAACACCCCACGGTTTAGTTCCACAGTCACGTGCATATGCTATGACGCGACCTAAAGCATGTACCATGGTAAGTTACATGGATAACACAACAACTAGGGACTTTCACCCTTCCCTAAACCGTTAATATCCACCAAATTGAAAACTGTCAAAGCCTTTGGCTATCAAAACGTTCTTTTGCTATTTTGTTAGCAGTCACCGCGCGAGATCTCGCCTCACAGTTCTCCTTTTCTCGAGTGAGGAATGTGTCCAGGCTACAGACTTTAGTCCGTAGAGATGACGACTATGAGGCGGACCACAACACCTTCTATCCTTGCCTGTCGCAAAAGTGTCGGTAGCACCATCAGAGACCGTAGTTTTTACGCCCACAAGTACCCAAAGTCGAAAAAGCTCGAAAAATGCGAGTCTCAGAGTGCTCATTTGTGGCATCTTCACTCACTCAGCCCACATTCCAGCTGCATATTCTCCATCTAGGTATGGAGCCCCGTTAGAAAAACGGTCTCTCGTAGACCAAGACTCGGGTCTCGTAAACTATGTATCAGTTTTCTCTTTGCGGGGATGCATAGCATGGTAACTTTATAGTGGGAGATGGCCGATTGTTTAAGAGAAAAATTCCCGTTTGCAGCTGGTGTGCAACCTAGTCAGTTTTTAAGGCGAATTGATATGCGATTTGATTAAGTTGGAGGACTCGCGTGAGCAAGATAGATCCGACATTGGTGAGAAGTCATCGATTTTAGATTTGCTTGAGATTGCAATCGACTTTTATTCGGTTGTGGTTCTTCTTGGCTATCCTAAATGTGCAGAGCATACTGAACGATTTCACCGGCGCCACTGGAAGGTGAAAATTTTTCTTTGCCAGCATTTCGAGACATTTATGAGGTGATTAATCGTTCAACATTGTTGTGGAAAACAATGAATCGCACATGCGCAAATGCGGCTAAACGCGAGTAGCGTTAGAGAGGCAGAATTAGGGCACCGGTGCTTTGTAAGCGAATTGATCATTAGTGACAAGAAAATTATTTCCGTGGCGAATAAGCAAGAAAAGATTTTAGAACAGTGACATTGTGCAAAATCACGCCCAGGCGCTGATTCCGCGGGAGGAGACTAATTTGCATCCTTGGTGATCAGATCTTGGCTCTCGAGTAATATTTCACTCCCAGGCTTGTAAAAGGAGCTGCCGAATGGGGTTAAGTCTTCACCTCTTATTTCGATTTTGAATCAATACAATTTAATCACCATTTTAATTGTAGCTTTTAGAGTTCTAGCATGCTAATTAAATGTCCGAAAGGCATTCATTCATTCTATTCATTTTCCCCCAAGCCAGCCGGCGAGCCCACTTTTAGCTGCTGCTGCATTTTCTTCAATCCTATGGTCGGTCTCGTCGATCTTTTTCCCCGCTTCCTTTTCATACCCGCTAATCTTGTCCTCAGCCCTTGCAAGTTCAGCACGTCCCTTGTCAATCTTCAAGGCCGAGTCAGCGCTGTGGTATTTCGCTCCATGGATACCTACGACATGGTCAACTTCCTCGCCTGCCTTTGTTGCCCACTTCTCTCCAAGCTTGCGGGGGTCACTATTTTGGTCTGGTAGCTTAGACTTAGTCCTGTCTGAGGCATGAGAGAGGTCATCTATGACAAATTATCAGCTCGTATCCGAAGATTTAATATGGAATAGAGTCGTACCCTTTAGTTGTTTCTTTGCAGCCTTTGAGTCACCCCCACTTTGGTACAAGTAATAGCCAATCCCGCTTACTGTAGCTACTCCAAGGTAAAGTCCGAAATTTTTCTTTTGTTGAGCCATGGTAATTTGCTTTGAGGGTGTCGGAAAGTAAGGGAAATGGCAGATGGTATATGGCCAAACTAATATTAAGTAAGATCAATTTAAACTGATGGATAGTAGCAGTTTGCGGAGATTACAACTTGTTCCTCTACATCTACGTCATACTTGTGACTCGACCTGGACAATGTTTTCTCACCAATCAAAATCTTGGCTAGAGGTCAAGTTAAGGCTACGGTGATCGCAAACGTCTCTTTGCTTTCAAAATCAAACTCCTTTCCATATCAACAAAAAGGGTACCAATAAACCACGCCTTGTGCGCTATGCATCTATACCTCAACACTCAAAGGAACAGAATATTTAGTCTTTCTTACTCTGAAAATTTGTATATTTAATCCGTCATATCTCTCGTTTTTCAGCGACAGGGAGTTGGGGGGCTTTAGTGCCAGTGTGACAGTGTGACAGTCGCACATTAGGTCAGGTATCGGAAAAATGAATTTTCCTAATTCCCATCGACCTCCTCCCCCGATGAGCACCGAAGACTATGACCACGAAATCAAGCTGATTGACCGTTCAACCTCTACTTGGCCATTTCAACCACAGAGCACACCCGGATTAGAACAAATAGGTGAATTATCGATTAATCCATCAAGTAATCTTAGTAACCCACCGCACCACTCGCCATTTAATCTGCGGGAGAAACTCACTCGCTGGAAATTTGGCAGATATCAAGATCGAGATTCGGATTCATCACAGAATATTTCACCAGGAGACCCAGGAACAACACGTCCGGTAGACATAGAAGAAGATGAGGAGGCCCGAAATCAGGACCTTCGCAAGGGAAGGCCGAGGGCACAGAGCTCTCGTGAAAGGTTAGAATCTGCCATAGATGTCCTTTATGAAAACCAAAGAGGTTGCTTTTTATGTGGAATACCATTATTTTCATCCCGGGCGCTTGGAAATCTTGATCCAGTCCCTTGGACAAACGTTGCTCAGAAGTCTAGTGCGACCAATATTACTAACGCGCAACCCCCCGATCCTTCCTGGGAATGGGCATGGAAAGAATGGTCGATCTATCACACTGAAGGTATTAATGAAGATGGCTGGGTATATTCTTTCGCTTTTCATGGAAAGTTCTCATGGCACAAAGCTAGGTGGTGGAATTCATTTGTTAGAAAGCGAGCCTGGATCAGAAAAAGATTCCATAAGAGAATTGGATATGAATGCAACGATTCACTAGTGGCTCATCCCGAATACTTTACTATCTGCACTAGTCATGGCTTACTTGGAGAGGAGCTTTATAACGATACTACGACGCCAAGTAGGGGAAAAATAGGATACGATTTCAAGACCGGGAATATCTATGAATTCGGAGTCTTGATGAAAATTTTACGATCAGCTCGGATAGACAGAGAGAAAATAGAGGCGGTTAAGAATTTTATTGAAAATGGGGAGCAACAAGAAACTTTATACCTCGAGAAAAACTTCCAAAATGTCATGCAAATGTTTGTATTCCAAGCATCGAGGCGTATTCTCTTTGCACATTTACTGAAAATCTTAAAAAATACTCCTGTCAAGCAGGAAGAAGCAACTAGTGAAGAATATTATAATAAAAAAAGTTTAGAGCAATCGGAGTCTCTTCTATTAGCTGCTCATCACGAGCTTAAAAAGTTTGAGTTTTGGAGGTATCATGAAGAGATAACTAAAAATGAAGTGGCGGGATCGGCAACCAGTTTGAGCAAGGAGCTCAGGGAAGGATGGTAGTTTTCATCTAAGCTTCTTGTATCAAGGGTTTTCGTCTTATAGCATTTCTCGCTTGAGAAGAAGGCCCTGCAAGTGTGTATTCTAGCGGCTGACGAAGTAATGAATCCAGCTGAAATTATTTTGGAGTTTGCGGTTCCTCAATTGTATGTAAACCCATCCTTTGATTTGTTAATCACGCCTTTCGCAAAAAGCATTATACTAGTGCAAGAGAGACAACATTTTGGAAGTAATCTGTAGGATAACCAATATCTACATAGACTTATTCTGAGGTATCGTTCTGATTAAGTGCTGCAGTCTTACAGTTTTCAGTGCATGATATCAGTCATGCAATAGATAGTCGCGAATTTAATTATTTTCTATTTAAATATTCTTCGAAAAAATAATCTGTACAACTATTGATTATCCACTACCAAAAAGCCTACGCGAAGTCCCTTCACTAAATTCTTCCTATATGAAAATTATTAATTTAAACTGGAAATTTTAATCGTTACTTTTAGCGTTGGGGACGACTAGGGCCTGTCTCAACGAATTTTGTTTTCGAGGAGTCAATAACTGCCAAGTTTTAGCTGGAGATGGGTACTTGAATTTTTTACAGAGGTATCTGCAAATTTATGGATTCTTAAAGTTTTGAAGACAGGAACGGGGATTGTTTCAAAAGGTATGTGCTTCTGATCACACTGAGATCTGCAAAAAACGCTAGTGGGTGTTGAAATGGTTAGTCGTTCAAACAATCTCCCCTGGTGATATCTCGATAGTTTGAGTACCAAGCTCAATTAAAATAGGACATTGCCGCCTCTATCCCAGCTACACCTGCCTACGTTGCTCGTAATAGATGAATTTTGCAAGACCAACATGTACCATATTACCGAAATATTCAAAAAATTTTGTCGAATACTCATGGACGCGGGTTGAGTTTGCCGTGCACATAAAACATGAAAATTTTCTTCTCCACAACTCCCGGCATTACATTGTCCAAGGAGATGAAGAAGAATCCAACCTTTCACTTAATGATAGAGGGTGAAAAGCTTTAGTTCAGAGGACGAGGTTATTGTAAATTAGCTTGATTAGCGCAAAGAAGACAAGGCCGGTACGAAAATAGTCGGAAGCATCATAACAGCATAGAATTTGAATTTGAAATCTTTTACGTGACAGGAAGAACCTAACATCTATTTAGACGTGACACGGGTAGATGGGCTCTGAAAGCTCATTGCTACCTACATGACCGGCAGTGGGGCCAGAAGCGACAAAAGAAAAGAGTGAAAAATAAAAAAGAACAGTATGTGTCTGAGTTACGGTGCCCTGCGCTGCATCCCTTTATTCCACACCCATCTACTCTCGGGTCAGAAACAATCTCAGCGTGGTCACCTCCCACCCTGTTCATTCTTCGGCAGACTGTAACATCGGCTTGTAGTTAAGAATCGGATGAACTTCTGCCATCCCTTCTCCCCTATCATTTCCCTGGCCCCAGATGGGGCCATTTTCTCATAGATTCTCCAACGTAGCAAAGAAGGTAGGCACTCTGAAAAATGCCAGGGCCTTTTCTCTCGGCCGCAAACGCATTTCAGATCTTCATGTTCGGGGTTGAAACGTCGATGGTAGTCGGCATAGTCCCCGTGGCCTGTTCCTGCCGCAATAAGACGATGGTACGCCCATCTTGGTAAAGCTAGTTCCCGTTCATAACAGCATAGAGTCAGGTGCGCGATACATTTATTGAGGTTCGTGATAGGTACTAAAGGCTGATGAAATTTTTATCACAAGGTACCGACTCAGTTTCCAGAGGGCATGGCATGGGTAGTTCAGATGTAGGACTCTTCGTCTGGAATACATTATAGCCTTAGGCAACAAGCTCCGCGAAGCCTCATGAAGGAGGCAGATATAATTAGGATTTCCTACCCTGAAAAGTCTGCTGCTTACCGTCTAAGAGAAACATGCCCGAGGCCTAATCATCTCAAATACACCGGATTGGATAAAGGACGCGAACAAAGCAGAGGAAAGTACACAATTACCATCTGTTTACCAGATCTTGTTTCCCTAGCACATCAGGACGATTAATCGTTGTCATATGGACACTTCGCTACCTACCTGACCGGTTATGGCAACTCAGGAGCTTCAAGCTAAGATCAAATACAACCACTATTGTCAAGGTGATAGTGTCCCGCAAGATGTTGTTCTGACTTGGTAAAATTTTCTGGAGACGGCGAGGAGGAAGAGCTGCTGTACTAGGAAAGGGTTGTGCCTTTACGTGTAAGGGTCAGGGAGTGGCTTAAGAGAGACCATAAACTTTAGCCATGCCCGTTACCTATAATCACAGAATACCCATAGAGTGCTTAAAGTATGAGTTTGACGATTTATTTCTAACCAAAAACTTTTCAAGATTTTAAAGCCACTAATTTAGGACAACATGACATTAATAGAAGTAGACACGCATCTCAATCTCAGTGCGACGCGCACCCAGTACTCTGTTTACAAACCATCTAACTCTTCTAAATCGGAGGGCAAAGACTGAACACCTGTACGCGGTGTTCTCAACGAACCTGGGTGTGAAATACTCTCTCAGAGTTAAGTTCAGTTAAATTTCGCAATGCCGAAGAAGTTGATCCACGAGACAATGAATCAAGTCTCTCTACGAAATTGATCTCCACAGAAACCTCATCAAATTTACAAGTACGACCTAGTTCATCCTCATTTCAATGGCTACTCCTCTCATCGACTATCCTCTGGCCTAAACTGGCCACCAAATACACGCCCACGCCGATATTAATACCCGACGGAGGAAACAAAGCGTGGCGCACAAATCTGGGAGACAGTTCTTTTGGATGGACCAGAAAGGTATCAAGACAAGTTCACAAGATGATGCGGAGGATGGATACAATCTCGACGGGCATGTGATATTGAATTCTTGCAAAGAGTTTTACAAATTGAGCTTCATGCGCACGAAGACTTCGCTTGCGAGAGTGCAGCTGACACTATAAACACAAGTCAACGATGGAAGGTGCCGTGGTCCGCCTCCTGGTGGTGTTCTCTGGTATAGTTTGAGTAGCCTGTGCACCTACTTCACTTGGCAAAGAGACACCTAAGACCATACTTCGCGCAGAGGAAAGATAATGGATGACGGAGGCATGTCTGGATAGCTGAGGGGTTTTGAGACGTTCCCCTGGGTGGGTATTCACGGATGAGGGTTGACTGGGGGAGAAGAAATAGCTGCCATAACTTCGCGGTGGTACTCGCAAATGAAATGTGAGGCATGAGTGCTCCTCTTGTAAACTGAGTCATCTTTTCTATACTTTTCTTTGATATTGTGTCATAGCTAGATGGCTGTATACGCAACTAAAATCTGATGCAAAAAAACAACTCTTCTACATCAAACGTCATTAACATGGTTCTCGGGCTTTTTACATGCAGCTTTTTTCATCGGACCCCATCAAAGATGGCTATCGGAGGACGAAGGCTGAACACCTGTCAGTGGTGCCCTCTACGAACCTGGGAGCGAAATATTCTCCCAGAGCCGAGATTCAGTGACGAAAAAGTGTGGGATGAATTCTATTTGATGGATCTTCGACTTGAAGGAATTGCACTCTATATTTTGCTCGGAAAATCAGTGGGCGGAGATTTCACAGCCGGAACAAAGTTGAACAAAAACTCGTCACCACCAACATACGATTCAAGAATGGGCCTAGGTCTGTCTGGGGGTCGAATTCACACATCTGACATCTCTCAAACTCCTTTTATGTTTGCGACGAAGTATTTCTCAGTCGATCCTATACCTGCGACCCACCTCCATACTCGTTACATCACCTACCTATACACGCCCTAATGAGGAAAGTCATGATGGAAACGGGACGTGTACAGAGGAGGAAGAAAAGGGAAGATACAGCGAGGGTATCACACAAACCCTCAATAACGACAACAACCCGATGGTACGATATGAAGGGGCAAGACTAGAGCAACGATGAGATCTTGGACAGCATTTATATTTTGGAGTCAATGATGATGTCAAGGGCTCGGGCGCGTGGTGGCCGGGGCTGAGATGGAATCTGCTCCTTGGCGTATCTACAGCGGGTTTCTGGACGGACAGACTCGGTATAATTCAACACATAGGTGAAGTCTGAGGTGGTCCGGTCATTTAGGTTGGACGAGGTTGATGTACTTTACGGTAGTTAACCTGATCCAGCCCGGCCCCAGCCGTGCTTAAGCTCCAGTAGGAGTGTAGATCCTGAAAAGATCTACATTGTCACGGGTTAGTCAGATTTTGGATGTACGGTACATAGACAAAATGCTAGTGTCTTATGGTCTCACACGATCAGATCGCACAGTCACAAGATCAGATCTCACTGGAGCTGAGGGGTAACAGAGTATTGATATATATAGGCGTATAGATATCCTACATTTGGGGAGATATAGAATTCACGTATTAGTCTCAAGCTCTACACAAGATCCATTGTAGTTAGGAGCCACGAGACACTACGTGATAACATTTCATTCTTACGCACACACACCCACAATTTACTAGGTACATAACGCGCGCCCAGAAACCTCAGGAGTGCAACGGTAGTCATTTAACCGAGCACGTAAATGAACAAAAAAAGAGGACTACCCGCACGGCCATCTCTAACCCGAGCTGGGAATCGCTGCTGTCTGTAGTATTCATTTTAGAGAATGAATCCTCCACGGGTCGGCAGGAAAGAAGGATCATGACGAGTGGCATCTGCAACCCCAATTGAACCATGGCAAAATGCATCTCCCCCCTTTACTTATCTTCGCCTCTAAACCCAATCGCCTTTTCCCTAGGCTCAAAGGCGAGACTTCCTCTATCTAGAGGGCAGGAAGGAATGTCATCCCTGGCTGATTTTCCACTTGCTCCCATTACGCGTCTTCCAACTGCTATTTTGGCTATTTTGGCTATTGACACGTATCTTCTCAAGGCTGGCGGCCCTGAGACTGTTGTAGGAGCCGCCTTTTGTTGTGATCTAGGAATTGCTCAGAATTGTTTATGCATACCT